TTTACCATTTCCTTTGTCTTGTGTTGTCGAGTCAATCTCCTCTTCCTCGGAAGAAAGTTGCTGAACATCGGCATCCATAATTACTGCAAAAATTATAACAAAATAAAACATTTATTTTAAAACAAGAGACAAAACTGATCTATTCTTTCTAGAGATATAATCTAAACATCAACATCCATAATTACCGCAAAAAATCAGAAATTATTTGGACAAGAACAACAATATAAAATAAACAACAAGTCAACAACAACAAGCTAGAGATATAATCTAAATCAGACTTAAAATTAAAAAAAAAATCACATGCATGTCAAAGATATATTCTTGCTGTAAATTAGATCAGGAATTGGATTATTGTGCTAGAAATTTACAAAGCAACCCATCATACGTTATATAAACTTAATACTATTATCATGCAAGAACAACAACAATAATCAAATACAAATCTGTATTGAAACAGAAACAAAAACAACAAAAATCAAGAACAAACCAAACGAAAACAACCAAAATGAAATGAAAACAACCAAACTCGAAACGAAAACAACCAAAAATGGAACGGAAACAAAAACAACAAAAATCAAGAACAAAACTAACGAAAACAACAAAACCAAAACGAAAACAACCAAACTCGAAACGAAAACAAAAAAATTAAAACGAAAAAAAAAAACATCAAAAATCAAGAACAAAACCGAAACGAAAACAACAAAACAGAAACGAAAACAACAAAAATCGAAACAAAAACAACAAAAATTAAAAAAGAATTACCTTTGAGAGTTTGAGGTTTGACGGCTTGAAGGAGATTAAGATTTGAAGATTTGAAAAAAAAAAACAAGAATGGAAAATTCAAAATCAGAACTTGAAATTCAAAACAAAAACGAAACGAAATAAAAAACAATTAATAACCATTACCTTTCAGGCGTTGAGGAGTGAGAACGAGTGAGAAGAGGGAAAAGTTGAGAACTTGAGAACGAAAGAGTGAGAAAGAACTAGAAGGAAAGAGTGAGTGTGGAGTGTCTGAGAACTTGAGATTGTTGAGAAAATGAGAACCAGAGAAGTTTAGAGAGAGAGAGAGAGAGAGAGAGAGAGGGCAAAATGAGAAAATAGGAGACAAAAACGGCTGGTGGGGGTTAGTCACATTAGGGTTTTTTTAGGTTTAGAACTTTAAATTGGGCTTGGGCCATTATCCATTAAAATGTTTTTTTTTTAAGACTTTTTTATTCGGGTTATAAGGTCGGGTTCGGGTTGACCCGACCTGATTTTGACCCGAAAATTATTTTCGGGTTATGTGGGTCATTTTCGGGTTGAAATTTTCAACCTTAACCTAACCCATTTAATTTCGGGTCGGGTTCGTGTCAACCCATTTAAGTTTTCGTGTCGAAATTCTCAACCCTAACCCGCTATTTTCGGGTCGGGTTCGGGTCGGGTCAGTTTTTGCCACCCCTAATCTAAACCCAGACAAAAGAAGATTTTATCTGCTACCAAGTGAGGAAGATCCCTATATGGCTCAACAATCAAGGAGGTTCAAATTAAAAGCTATGTTCATGGCCATTATAGGAAAGCCTCTGTATGGGACACATGGGGAACTCCTACATAATGGGAAATATGGGATATTCCCATTCACACAGCAAGAAAGGGCAAAAAAGTCAAGCAAAAACAGACCAGCTGGCACATTGGTCACAAAAGCACTTCAAAATGTCAACAGAGATGCAATAAGGGACATGCTACTTCACAAAGTCATACCAGCAATAGTGTCAAAATGGCCAGCAAGTTTGGCAAAAAATGTGGTGATTCAATGGGATAATGCAAGGCCACATCAAATACCAAGAGATGAAGAGTTCATTCAAGCAACACAAGCAAATGGATTTAACATTGAGTTTGTGTTCCAACCAGCACAATCACCAGATTTGAATGTGTTAGACTTAGGTCTATTTAGATCTATTCAATCTTTGCAATATCAATCTTTTCCAAAGAATGTAGATGAACTTGTTGAAAAGGTCATTGAGTCTTATAACAATTTCAAACCAGAAGTAAACAAGTACACTTGGGTGACATTACAAAGATGCATGATCAAGATTCTAAAGGCAGAAGAAGGGAACAAGTATAAAATCCCACATATGAACAAGAAAAAGCTTGAGAATTTAGGCATTCTCCCAAATTAGATTGATGTAGAAAGGAGTATAGTGGTGGAAGCTGTGGAATACCTGAACACAATGTTCAGGCCAGCACCCCAAGGAAATCATGAAGCAGAAACAGAAGACATGGAGGTAGATGCAGACTAATTACAAAGACACACAGCAAACAACCACACACTGCCACACATAACCACTTAGTAGTGAACAATGATATGTTAAATTTCACTTTTGTTTAGTTATTTTTGTGTATCAATGAATAGGTGGTTAGGTGTATTTTGTATGGTAGAGTATTGAAACACACATGAAAGGCAGTGGTGGTTTAGTTCTAGTGCATTTGTAAGAGGCTTTTTGTAGCCATTTTATCAAGTAAGTGGAAGTACTTAATCACATGAATCCATCAGGAGATCAATTTTTTTGTACACACAACATTTCAAACATGGTTACCTCAACATCAATCACAATATAGTGATTGGTGGAGCTATACCATTGTTCAAATAGTATTTCATAGGAGTCACTTCATCATTTGGATTCAACACACAACACAAATAGTCTAGAGCCAATGGGGACTGTTAAACAATAACAAAAAGGGGCATGTGCAGGGAACTCCATTGGAAATTGTTCTCTACACAATGATCATTGAGAACAATTTTCACACAACAACTCAAACACCCAAATCAAGAAACCATCATAAAGGATCATCATTCAACAACCAAATTCCCATATGCCATATGCCATGATTACAACATCAACCATATCCAACATAATATCCAACTCTTAAAATGCATCATTATCCAACTCTTAAAATGCATCAATAGCCAACAGCACAATAACAAAAAGGGGCATGTGCAGGGAACTCCAACATAAACAGGACATAAGCACCAAAAACATATCCATCAAAAAATCCAACAATAACAGGACAGGAAAAGCAACACCATGTCCATCAAAATTTCCAAATATTAAAGGACAAAATCGCAAACACCTCATACAACATCACAGCACAACAAAGCCACCACAACATAATAAAATTCGGAGTATGTGTGCATAACACAACCACCATAAACAAATCATGTCAGAAGCATACACAATCAACTTAAAAATGGGACTCGATAACAAAAATTAAATAAGTTAGGGTTAGGAAGCGTTACGAGTGCAGCTACTCAGAGGGTTGAACCGTAGGGTTCATCCGCCTCACATAGCACGTCACAACAGGAACAGAACAAGAAGGCACTTCTGGTTTCTTGGCTGGAGGTTCCTTATCAGGCTCCTCATCAGAAGACAGCACAATGAACTCATAGTCAGGGAGGCCACGCATCCTTCTCAGGGCAACATGCGCGGCCTTCCTGGTGGCCTTAACTTAAGGAGGTGGCCTTTCCCTCTTAGATCTAGGCTTAGTGGGCACAACAGCACTACCCTCACCTTGCTCAGCAGCCAGATCTATAGCCATCTCTGAGAAATCAAGTGATTTACAACGGGACTCACCAACACCCTCCTCTTTCTTCGCTTTTTCTTCCTCATCAAGGATTTTGAGGACTTGACCAAGGGCTCTGTAAGTGTACAGAGAGCAGTACGCACCGGTCTCAGTAGACTCGTAAAATTCACGAGGAAAAGAAGATCCAACCTCGAAGCAGTGCATGAAATTGAGGATCAAATTCTCCTCTCCCTTGTCATCCGTAGCCATATAAGCATCCTTAAGAGGATCTAAGTTCAACATTTTTAAGGAGGGACTTTGATTGAGAAAGAAACGAGAAGAGGAGAGTAGATCTGGAGTGAAAAATAGAGAAAATCGGAAGAATAGAGGAGAGAGAAAAACCCTGAAGATGAACTAGGGTTCATCTTATGAACTCTCCAGAAGATATAGGGAGAACGAAACATCACAATTAATTTGGGTAGTTGGGAAGTTGTGTGAATGAAGAGAGAGGAGTGGAATTGGTAGATAAAAGGAGGGAACAATTAGATTAGGTGAATCTGATTAGTTTAGGTTAATTTAGTTTAGGATATTATAATGGTATTGATTAAAAAATAAAACAATTAAAATTAAGGGTAAAATTGTAATTTTGCCCCTTTTTTTTACTAAAAATAGAAAGAAATAGAAAGTTGCACATAACCCCGAGCGGACAAAAATGGCAAAAGTTGCACATAACTAACGGAGGTAGTATTTGTTTAGAATTACCTACAAATTTGAAAATGTTTGGGTAGTGCTGTCCAATAACGTTTTCCGTCCAATTAAAATGTTACTTTGGCCCAATTTTTCACTTTTGTCAATACAATGGCCAATTAATATTAAAATAAGAAAAAACCCGAATTCAATTCAATTAAACCCTCAAACCTTAGAAATCATAATCCCCAAATAATACTAAACTCGTGAACCCTAAAATGAATCCTAATTAAAATCCTAATTAAGTTAATTAGGGCCTAATTAAAACCTTAAAACAAATTGGGGAGTTAATTGTGTGGCAAAAGTGAACAAAGTAGGGCTTCAATAACATCTTAATTGGACGAAAAATGTTAGTGGGTAGTGCTACCCAAACGTTTTCAAACTTGCGGGTAGTTTTAAACAAATAAAAAAAATGAGTAATTGTTCACAAATGATCCTATTTTTAGGGTAGTTCTATGCAAAATTTCCATGATAAATTGTTAAGAAACAAAAATGATATTAGAAAAGGCTTTTAAACGAGCTTTTTAAAAACGAGGTTTTTTTTAGTGGAATAAGCTCTAAACTTCCCATCACATAGTACTTTAAATTAAGTTATTTATTACACCATCCGTCCCCGATTGATAGTCACTTTTGCTATTTTTGGTGACTTAAAATGTTACTCACATTTGCTTTTTTCAAGTACCATTAATATTATTTTTTTACCAAAATTCTCTAACATTTGTAAAAATATTTGTCCAAATTTAACTTTTCCATGTAAATTTCACTTTTCAATGTACTTTAGTTACTTTTTCTCTCTATTTTTTTACATACCAAATGTAAATTTACTTTTTCAATGTACTTTAATTATTTGTCTTTAATTCCCGTGATTTTTTAACAAAAGTGACTATGGAGTACTAGTCAATAAGCTAATATTGATTGTTAAAAAAAAAAAAAAAAGGTAATATTGATCAAATAAAACTAATTTAACCCAAATAATGAAATAAATTATTTACCAAATACAACAATATCTTTTTGTCTAAAATTTCTCTCCAAATAGAGCGTTCTAAATTTGAAGTTTGGCGCTAAATCACAGAAATCTTTCAAAACCCCTCCAAAAATTTTGAAAATAAAAAAAAATAAAATAAAATTCCACAAGTTCTTTTTTTTTTTTTTTTTTTTTTTTTTTGGTGAAGGAAATTCCACAAGTTCTTTCACTATGCTCCGTACAGTTTAACAATTACTTTGAATCAATTCTCAGAAAAAATTAGCATTGAATCAATAAGATAAATCTACAGATGAAACCAAAAGGTTCTACTCCAATTAGAGCATCTGGGCAACGTTCAATTCTTTCCACCTTCAATCATCAATATGCTCAACCATGGTAATAAAACAAAATTTCAATTAATTCAATAATTTTATTGCTGATTTGGGTATTTTTTGAAGAACCCTAATTTCATTACAGCTCTACCAATCATTCAGATGGGTCAGGTGTGCTTTCAAACAAGAACAAACGTGGTTCCAATCTCTCTTTTACTGATTTCCTTAATCGCAAGTTACATACAACTTCCGTTCTTCCTTTTGATAAGGTAATTTTAGCCAATTTCAGTTTTCCGTTCTTTATTTTTATTTTTATTTTTATTTTTATTGAATTTGTTGGGAATTATTTGTTTTTTTAAACTAGTGAAATCCTAGAGATTTTTCTTCTTTTTGGAATTTAATTTGGGAAATGTTAGAGTGTTATTTTGAATATGCAAGATTGTAAACCAGAATATATAATTTGCAAGATTTCTCAATACCTCGGTTTGGATTTAGTTGTCATATTGATGGTTCAAATAATTTTGTAATATGACAATTAATTTAGGACGGAAGGAGTATTTACGGGCTATAAGCCTATAATTTAACTTGTTATTGCTTGATTGGTTGGTTTTGGTTATTAGTTAATTTAATAGACTGTATCCTTTATTGGGGATAAAATGATTAAGAATTCTGAGAGAAACTTTTTAGTGAATGGAACAAGGATGAGATGATTTTGGAAGTTGGAACAGTAATGTGTCTTTTTAGGCAGTGGGCTAGAAGGATGCAAGAGAGAACACATAATCTACCCTCGAGCATTTGCTAAGGAAACACATTACGATGCTAAGGCTAGTTACAAGACTGGTAAGGAATAAGGGATAGATGTATCGTAGATATGGGTGTCAAAATATACCTAAATGAGTATGAGGAGAGGAGGGGGTGGGGGGTTGGTGTTCTTGACAACAGGTGATACCGCGATTTTTATGTCAATCTGTCAAATGTGACCTCTCTTTAGGATAAAGGTTGGGTAACATGAGTAAGCCTCATCTAAGAAGTCTTAACTGTTTTTCTACTTGTAGATTGCAACTTCTGTAAATATCACTTATTTCATCTCTACTGCAATTAGATGGAAACTATATTCTATACAATTTTAAGTTTTAAGTTAAATTGATAAACATTGGACTGGATTTCATTTATTTTTATGGTTGGATATGTGTTCCTCTCACAGTTTCATTCAAAGGGAGCATTATTGCTTTAGTCTTAAACTATTCTTTCCTAGAATTTGTTCAACTTGATAATTTTTACAACATATTCACTGCTGTAATAAAGGATGACAAAACATTCTCGGTGGTCAAGAACGAGACTTCTCCCTTGGCAGCAAACTGCAATCCAAGAACTAAATCCATTTTGAGAGGTGAGCAATATGATTGCGAAGGACCTCGTGATGAAAAGGGGCACGTGATTGAAGATTCAGTGTTTAAGCTGTTCAATGATTCAGGAGGAAACAAAAAGAGGTCTTCTGAATGCTTGAATGGTTAGTGCAATCTTTTGATGCAGTCTCATAGCTATGGTGTACATTTTTGTTTTTGTACACTAAATTGTCAAATGCTGAATGCATAACATATTGTCTTCCTGATTCTTCATATAATTGTTAGGAAATTTCTTTCTGTTTTCATACTTAATAATTAGTCCTCGCAAAAAATTTAGGAACATGTCTACATGAGTGAGTTAGGAATTTGCAGATTTTGAAAGTGTAGCAACACAGTAGGAATCCAATTTGCTTCAGATTTTCTGATCTGCTGCTAATATTTCCATAATGTTAATAAGGACGGACAATGATGTTCTTGAGAATTAAAAGAGATTAGGAAGAGTTGATGGGCTACTCAGACTTAGGTTTCGTTGCAACTTATTAAAATCAGTAATACGGAGTATTAAAGTTGATAAGGATTCCCTAAATAAAAACTTTGCTCTAAATAAGTAAATGTGCAACAAATCACAACTAATAATTGGACTTTCATACTTTGATTTGCCATATTCAACATTGTTAGTTTGCCTTACACTATGAGAACAATATTCTCCTCTCTTCGACTCTTCTAATAATTTATTATTCTGATCATCTGATGTTTAATCTCTTTAAATTGTGTCATTGTCTGTCCATTGTATCAAGTCTCTGATTTCGTTTGGAAACCACAAACATGATATTGTGCATTTCTTTCATTGAAACCTTAGGCACTTACTCCACACTTTTACTATTCAATATGTATGACATGGAAATTAATAATTGGACTTCAACCAACTATTGGAGAAAACAGGTCTTATTTTCGCTATTTATTCTCAAGGGATGGTGTGGTAAGTGCCCATAAAGATCTCACTCCTAGAATAAAATCTGATTATGCATACAGATATTGTCAAGCGGACAAGCCTAGAGATAGATCCATTACTGTATCAGAATTCAAATAAACCAAGAGTCTAAGACCGCAATCTAACCATTGTAAGTTGATTAAGATCAAAAGGCTAGAAGATATGTTTGAGGCATGCTTGTAGAACTGAACGTTTAACATGATTATTGACAATGTCACTGCCTGAAAATTACTTCCAATAGTGAGGTAAGCTGTAAGTCATAGCTTTTGACTATAATTTCTACATTGTATATTGTTGATCGATGAGTTTATGCTTCTTGTTAAATAGAGATTTTACAACTTATTCTCTCTGTTTTTCTGTACTGCTTTTCATTCCTCCTGTATTTTAACAATTTATGCCTTAGTATCTATGTCATATGCCTTCTGAGTCGTTCTGACATATACTAGGTGGTCTTAATCCAGCATATTAGTATGGTTTTTATCAAATATCGAAGGATTTAACCACAATGCTGACTTTTTCATTGGTTCAAACACTACTGAAGTAATCCTTTTTTGGTTTATTTATCTGAACTGCAGCAGATCCATCACAATCAGAAGGTGCTTCAAAGCAGCATAGTCAAAATCATTTGTTAGTCCTAGGAGATGACCCCAAGCCAAAGAGAAGATCCCTTGGAAGAAATACCTGTAGCAATAAGAAACAAAGGCCTCTTTATAACCATTGTAAGTACTACGTTATTCCAAACTATTGCTACTACTGTCATACTTGAGGTTTATTAATCAATGTGGCATGGAACTATGGAGTATAGAAAGAATGAAATGTGACTTAAATTTTGGTCCGGCAGATGAAAATGGAACTGGTTTCTGGGAACCTGAGAGAGAAGGTATCGACAGTGCTGAAGTTGGGAGCACGGAAATGTGGGAAGGCATGGGTTCAACAACCACACTCGGGGGACTAGATGAATTAAGCACTTTTGACCACCTTTAACTATTAACCAATGCGTTTGTACTACCATGGTATGATTAAGCAATCTGACTTCTCTGTAAATGAGGACTCACGCCAAATTCTACTTACATGTTGAATCTCTAAGCAAGTTTATACTATATATATGTGTAGATAACTAGATACTAATATCCTAATATCTGTGATCCTTGTTTTTGGGCGTGCAAATAATGGGCGAGATCAAAGGATCTTTAGGAGATCAATGGACAACTCATCATAGAACCAACTGTCGTTTTCAATATCTTATGAACAATGCAAGAGATTTGATCATTTGATGCCATAAGTTGGCTTTAAGGTTTGATTTAAATATCATAGATAGGGTCAAAATATTGGAGTTTCTCAACCCTTGAAACTCGAATAATGCTTGTGTCTTCTCAAAGTTCGCTTTGGAATAATTTAGTCACAGTCTCTGTATTATGTAAATTAAACTAGAAAGATGCTTGAATGATATGTGAATAGACATTGTAAAAGCATTTAAGAATAAAATATGAAAAATGCTTGTTTTGAATGGTAAAAAAGGCATGCTTTGCGAAATGGGGAAAGGCATCATGACTTGTGGCTTTGCTTTTAGCCCAAATGCTTAATCCATTCAGCTAGGCCTATAAAAGTTTAATCCCAACTATATTGTGCAAAAACTATTATAGTGATATCATGCCTAGAATCAAAGAAACTATTGTCAACCCCAATTATAATCACTTGCACAACTCATTCAAGGGGGTTCTCTTAGGGGGCGGAGCTCATTCTTAAGTGCTTTCTTTTCTCTCAAAAGTACTTGAATAATGTTAATCATTTCTGTATCCGTCCAATTTTACAAAATGTTTTAAGAAAACAATGTAACAACTTAAGTGTCAAATTTACATTGACTTGACATTTATCATTCTTATGTATCATTACCTATGCACTCCTTTATTCCTACTAACAGCCCCCTTGGTAGGTCATACACTCATACATGATGGTAATGAGAACGTGTTTGTATTTATCAAGGTTCATTCTAACAGCAATGGTAATTCACCCCAAATTGTGCATTTTTCTTTATAAATTTTCGTTTCCACCTATACATGAAAAAACATGAAGACAACACATGCTTGAAGATGAAATTGCATTACCATGGAGATTACAATCTTGATTTCATTTCTAATATACACTAAAAATTCATTTTCATTATCATCATTCATAATCGGCTACTAAACAGGCCAAGGGTACTAACCTATCATAGAGTGATAGAACCACTATCATAGAACCCTTTTATGATATGCACTAACTAGCAAACATGACGTGTGGTCCCTGTTCTTTTGAGATTCACTGCTACTGCTACTAGCCTAGTGCTGCTGCTATAATTTAGTTCCTAATTTTCTATTTTGGAGATCCAAAATAACGTTCTTATTTCTATTGTTATACTATCATTTTTTTAACATGCAAATACAAATTTGTCTACCAGATTAACGAATTTTGTTCATCTGGTGGCAATTTCTGTAAATATAGTCAAAAAGCATGGTCATTCAGTACTTTTGGTGAGCTGTCCAATTACTGTTTGCAACTTGAATTTAGGAAATTACACATGAACCTCTTAACTAGTACGTGAAAGAGAGTGAGGGATGACTCAAGTGGTTAAAGCTCCCCTCCCGATTACAAGAGATCTTGAGATAGATTCTCATCACCCGCCTTTGTGGCTCTCTAAACACCAAAAAAAAAAAACTACTACGTGAAAAGATACATGTACCTATCAACTAATACTTGAAAAGACAATTATACCCCATTTTGTTTATCTAGAAGATAAATTAGACACATCTCTTTTTTTAACTATATTCATTGTGCTTTCTAAATTACCCTTGAATTTTGCTCATGCTTTGTAGTTTTTTCCACTTTCTCTCTCAAACTTTTGTCTATAATTGAACTTTTCATTTTAATTAATGTACTCCATCCACTTTTTCATCTTATATCCTAAATACCGTTAAAAAAAATACAAACAAAAACTATATTATGGAACGAAAGGAGTATTATACTTGATTTTGGGTGTAACTATAGTAACACATATTCCCTCCTTCCCACAGTACACAAGATGAATTCTGAGTACTATAAAAATAACAGTATCTCTTAGATGAGTTAGTTCCATGCCACTAAGAATTCCACATATACTTGAACAATTTCAGAAAAAAAAAAAACAAAAAAAAAACAAAAAAAAAAGAAAAACATAAAGAGATAACTTTTTTGAGAAATAAAATAATCATATAACTAATATATAAAGCTAAACTTTTAGCCACGGTACGAGGTAGCGACACTTGGCGTTTCAACTTTTCGCCAAGTGTCGCGCTCGTTGGATAGATTTAAAGAGTTAGTCTTAAGTACTCCTGAAGTATGGTACTCCTTGGATACCATACTACCATGCTATCCACGTATTTATGTTAAAACCATGAGTTATTTTGGATTGAACCTTATATTATTTTGCTAAACTATAATGTTATTTGCTTAAATATTATGTTAGTATTTATTATATTAGTCTTTTGTTTTTTTGTCAAAACATTATATTGTGTTATTTTGGTTTAAATCATATAATGATCTTTTTACGTATGATGTTATTTTGCTTAAACTTGGTGTTATTTTTTTAATATAACTTATTTTTTTATATTAATTAAACATTGTATTATTTTGCCAAAAACTTGTGTTATTTTGTTTAAACTTATTTTAGAGGAAGAATAAAATCGAAAGAGGTGAATATGGCCCAGTGAACATAGCATATAATTGAAGGAGTTCTGTCTTTGATAAGTGCAATTACTAGATATATCAAGGATCACTATTATGGAGATAATAAGTTCGTTCTTTTGGATCGTCATTATCTGTTGCTAGACAATGATCAATGATTTTTAGGCTAGTCAAATAGTCCAAAACCCACTAGAATGGATTCTATGAGGTCACACACAAGGGTATTGGGTTAAGCAAGTTAGAGGCTCATTTATGGGCCTCATGAACAACAAACTAATCATAAATAGGATTGGGCTAGCATAGTTAGATTAGAGTTAGGTTTTTGGTCTTGGCCATGGACTCTTATTTAGAGATGAGATCTATAAATAAGATCCATGCCTAGGATTGTATGTGACAACACAATTAACGGTTGATTGTGAATCAAGCAACCAGAAATCTCAAAACTCTCACACTCTCTCTCCTCCCTCCCCCCCTTGGACTCACGGCCGGCCATCCCTAGTGGCGCGTGTGGTGGTTCGTGATTGGTTCGTTGCTTGTTCTTCTCCTTAGAAGGTCCATTGAAAGGTTCAATTGCAATTAACTAGCATTAGTAGAGGTCTTAATCCGTGCCCGTGGACCAAGTAGAGGAACCACACTTGAGGTTCTTTATCTCCCATTGTTCTTCCTCAATCGCACGTGGAATCACGCTTCAAAGGTACAATTATATGTTGTTTATGTGTTATGCATTAGATCTTGGGATTAGGTACTGTATGAATATGATTTATATTTTTTCGCAATTAGTACCTATAAACTCCTACAGTGGTATCAGTTAGCCTATTGCATTTACGCACACTGAATATTAATTCTTTGATAGTCCACAATTTTAATTCAATTAGGAGGGAGAATAATTTAATTATGGTTCAATCTTTATATTAAATGAGATTTAATTTTTAGAATTGTTTAAATATGATTTAAATTGCTCAATTATTCTAGCAAAATCCGATTTAAGCCCTAGAATTTTCAGAAATTATGATTGAAATAAAGCCTTAAATTTTGATTTTGTGCTTAATTTTGATGATTTTCGAATATTTATGCTTCATAAATTTAATTAGATTGATTTGATAATAAAATATGATTTTTGTATAATTAATAATTTGATTTAAGAGTTAAATTAAATTTGAATTAATTTTGTGAAGAACTCTAGATTTGAAATTGAATTAAGAATTTGATTTCAAAATTGAATTAGGCATAAATGTTATGTTTTAATTCAAAAGACCTAATTTTAGTTTAATTTAACAAAAGTTGTTACTTTAAATTAAATCTCTAAAAAAGGGGAAAGATTTGATTTTGGGAGGGGGCAGCCGTGGCTAGGTGGACAAACCACCGTTAGGTGGCCACGATGGCTGCCAGGTGGTCAAAAAGGTGCAGCAAGGAGGGCGCAGGCTCAAGGACAGGCGGCAGCAGCGAGGCGCGGACTGGCAGCAGCAACGAAGTGCAACAGTTAGTTGCATAATCGACTGCTGGAGGTTGTGGTCTGCTCCTGGCTGGGCTCCGGCCTATATGCAACGCGCGGACAGCCCTCAGACAACACCTCCGGCGTCCAACTAGAACATTTCCAGTTAGGGTGAAGGCTACGTCGTGGCTGGGTTTTTGTACTTGGTTACAGTCGCGGGATGCGGTGGTTCCGTGGCTTGGTTATTCCTAGCTGCGGGCTTGCGTTCTGTTGCTGCGTTGGTTGGGGTTCACCCCTAGGTGACGTGGCAGCAGATTTATAAAATAAATAAATTGTTTTTATCAAAATTCTTTTGTTTTAAAATATTTTCAAAATAAATTCTGATTTTATTTTGAGGATAAAAATCAAATTTTAAAAGTTGGTTTTTGATAATTATCCTGAATTAAAGTTGTTAATTTTGGATAGGATTTGTTATAATATTTTGAGCATATTCCAAAAAGATAAATATTGATTTATATAATGTGATTATCCCATAATTATTTTAGGATATAATTTATTTTAAATTTGGTAATTGGCTAGTAATTAGGATAGAATTTCCTAATTAGTTAGGATAATCTTTGAGGATAAATATGATTTATCTTTTAAGATTAAAATAAGATTTGATTCTATCTCATGAATAATTTAGAATATATGATATTTTATTGATGGACATGAATAATATATGATATTATCTAATTGCATTAATTAAAAATATAAGATATTTTGGTGCCATGTTTCCTTAATTGTGAACATTATTCGATGTTGTAGTTTAGGAAAGCATGATGAGTGATTTATTATGTGGCAATTTTATAATATATGATGTTGTTTATTTCTATATAATGACTAGTATGGCCCAATAGATTGCTAAATACGATTTGCGCATCGTGAAGTATTTTGTAATCTTAGTACGGTCTACGTACCGATAAAGTATTTTTGTAATTTTATTTTATTTTATTTAAGTAGTAGATAGAATAGAATAGAATTACAGGTTGCAGTTAATCCAAGAAGCCCATGAAGTGAAGGCCCAAAGGAGCAAGGTGGATTAGATTCATGATGATTTAAGTGGGAGCATTTACTTTATTTGTTTTCTTAGGATTAGGGGTCATACTATGTCTTGTTTATTTATGCATTCTGTATTTTATGCATGTTAGATTTTATTGATGTTTTGTGATGATGCGCTAGAGTTCACTCACAACATAATGAATCTAGGTCCCGTTAATATTGAGGTTGTTTTTCCAATTAAAAACCCAATAAACCTTTGATATTTATGATGGGTCATGCCAAAGC